ATTATATTTGATTAGTGTCAAGCTTTATAATACCTAAATCACAAATCTTCGTGTTAGTTCCCAAAATGTCCAGCTATATAGATCTCTCCAATTCAATTCCCCGGATACATATATATATATATATATACACACATACACATATACATATATATTCATATTCATTCTTTAAACTCAATATGACCTCATAGACCTCATTTTCATAATTTAAAAATTATAATCGTATAATGTTTCCCACTTCTGATGCCTTACTATACCTGGCAAGATGGTTCTGTACATAAACGCAAAGTGTCGTTTAAGCCAAGGATGGCCGAAGTGGTTGATGCCGAAGTGCCTCTGCACAAGGAACACATACTGGAACAGAGATCTGGTGGTGTAGCTGCCATACGCCACCCCTTCATAGAGGGAGCCGTCGGTCACCTCTCGGAGCAACACCAGGGATTTCTCCATGATGGTCAGGACTTGTTTGGTCCATAAGTACGCTTCCTGCAGATATCCTGGGGGTGAAACACACGCAAACAGGAGACAAAGCCATCAACAACAGGGCCAAATGGAGCCCTCGACATCACCTCATTAGTTTATATTATTACAAATTGCATTTTGTAAACTCTCACTTGTTAACATTATAAATAATATCTTGTTAACAGTGGTTAGTAGTCAAGTCCTTGATATAAGTTAGGAAGCTCCTGCATATAGGTTTCTTATTAATTAAATAATAATAAACCCATAAGTGATAACAGGTCATTCACAATATTTGAAACTCACAATGTTTAAAAATATTATCACCTATAAGATCACAAATCAAAGGTAGGTAAGACAAGATTTATACCTTAAGACTGCTATTTATTTTTCCTCAAACTTTCTTGAAAATTCCTTTGAAGTTTATCTCTTTTAAAACTGCTGCCGATATTTTACAAGATTTGCAATAATCTATGAAATACCCTTAAGTGCTACGCAGAAGAGTCTTCAACGTGCACTGTCACTGCACCTTTCATGCTTTCTGGGCTTTCAGATTCTACGGGATCTGGAAAGGCAGCTCAGTGGGGTGAGAATCCACGGAAATGCAATGGTGAACACAAGCAGCCAGGAGTGCAGAGCCTGCCACAAATGAGCCATGTGGCTGCCTTCACACGCTTCTCCAACTGGTCACACTTTCCAATTTCCCTGCAGAAACTTCAAAGTCTAAAACACTTGATAAAATCTTTTCGACTCAGAAATTTAGGCACATAGGCAAGAATAACAACTCACATTTCTATAACATTTATAATTCACACAGCACTGAACAGAATCTTAATCTTTAAACAACCTGGTTATGCTTTGTTACCCTCCCCCACAAATTACAGAAAGGTTGATTTGTTCCAGATCTCAGGCATTTTACCCGAAAGGAACAGAACTTTGATTTAAACCTGAGATTTTAGATTTAAGGTTTGGCTGCTTCTCTTTGCTTGTTTTTAAAACACACAATGCCTGGGGATAAAGTGAAGCTCACTGCCTCGCAGTCTGGGGAAAGCCTTATTGCTTTCCTCCCACAAATGTGTGTCAGTCACCTTCAGTGCTGACCCCTGCCAGAGCCTACGTGTGGGAGGAGGTGCCAGGAGCCTACAGGCCCAGGTACCGCCAGCTCTGGACCTGCAACCAGATCTCTGCTTGAGACTTGGCCCTGGCTCATGGGGACAGCTGTGTCCTCGGGTATGGCTGTACAGAAGTGACCACTGATTGCACTTGGGCTCCTTCTGCCACCCAGCTCTACACTGGACATGGTCAGTCTTGCTCATGGTTTCTCATTTCTATTTTCTGTCATTCGGCTTAAAATTTTTGTCATCTCAATTTCTCTCTGTCTCTGTCCCCCATCTCCAACAATATCCCAGTGTCACCGAGGCTGCTGTTCCCTGTATGTCACATTACTTGAGTTTCCTTCTTTCTTCTTTTCAATTCCCTCTTCAGGTACTATCTACTGGAAATACTGTGTACGCTGCAAACTCCTGTCAGCACATGGCTGAAGATTTTGTTAAGAATAGCGGCTGATATGACAAAAGACAAAGTTAGGTCTGAGTAACATCTGTTGTTGAATAGTCTATAAAATGCTAATTTTATGGGGATATAAACAAGAGTTAAATGTCTTTAGATTTTCAAACTCCAATTACATACTTAAATTCTAATAATTCACTCTGATCTTAGAGCTGCTTCTCTTAAATACCTAGTCATTTATAGATTTCCATAGGAGTTGCAATTAAGTTAGAATTACAAGAAAAAAAAAGAGCAACACTGACAATTACATAATATGTTAATGCAAAGTAGCCATACAATCCACGAATGCTGCTTCTAATTGTGATTTAAATGATCAAGACTGGTTGTTTTAAGTCTTTAAAGAAAAAAAAAAGAATAGTGGTGTGATAATTTCTATTTGTATGCTAAGAACATCTGAAATAACAAACTACTTGTGTAGATTTTTTTCCACTTTTATACAGTCCAGGTTTGCAGTACATTATGACACATCCTCTTGGAGAGTTGGTGCATGCATAGAGCACATCTTAATTCTTTTCTTCCCCTTTCTTCTCCCTCCTTTCATCTCTTGGTCCCCTTCTCTTTTGTAAAAGATCTATTTTCCTACTTCCTAGTGTCTATCTTTTATTTTGCTCTTCATTTATATTTTGGGTTTCTCATATGCCAGGCTGGTAGTTTTCACAGCCAAAATTCCCTAGAAAAATATTCATTACTGACTTTGTGCTGTAAGGATATGGCCTGAACCATCTAGGCCATAATTAAGTAACCTTCAGGCTAATGGAAGAAAATAAGAAAGCAATATCCCTTAATCAGCTAAGAACAGTAATGAAAGCCACTACAACTGATGTCAGCTCGGCTGTTGCCCTGGCCACAACGTGATCACACGCACCTTGATTCATCAGAATGAGACTTCCTGTGAGCAGAGCCATGCAGTTGGTGGGCTGATGATTGTGCAGGTATTGAAAGCCCCATCCTCTCCTGTATGATGTTTCATACATATATCCTGAGGCATTGGCAATCACTTCAAGAAACCTTTCCTGCTGCATCTTGCTCAGGTAGTTGTACAAGAAGTCATAAGCAGTGGCAAAACCCACCAGGGAGTGAGCGAGTGGGACTTCATCCCAAGGAGCGTCTTTCACCAACCTGTAGAGATAAATAAGCCACGTCAGCAATTGCACCAGGGCTCGCAGCTTTAGTCAGCCTTCTGATTCATCCATTTCTTAGAACTCCAGGGCACAAATGAAGACACCATCCAACAGACTACAGGACACCAAACTGACTTTCTTCTCATTAGACCCAAACAAAAGCTGAGCTCATGTGAAAATTACAGTAAGCACTGTTCTCGTTTAGGCTTTGGGCAACAGTAAGATTTTAAGAATTTTTACTTTTGATTATTGTATTCTTGATACAAGTTAGTAGAAAATTTTCAGAGATCTAAAGCACAGGGCACATAATGGCAAAATTCCCTGGAGTCCTCACCATCCAGTGCCCAACCCTCCTTTTGCATGTCAGTCTCCTCTCCTATCGCCAGTCAGTGGGATGTCTCAGTCCAAGCTGTCCAGGTCTGGACAGAGCTACCGGTCAGCATCAGGCAGGGAAGAGGGACAAAAAGGCTGACGTAAGTGAGCAGAATTTGATTTTACTTCAGAATTCCTCTATCTCACTCTTTACCATACAATGTGCACACTCTTTAAGGTTCTTCAAACACCTTCCAGAGATTCCTGAAAGCTGATCCTCTGTGAAGTATTATATCATCATTTTCTAGAAAGCCAAATGTGTTTGACTACCTACACCATTCCGCAAATATTTTAATGGTGTGTGGCCTGCACTAAACAGGAAGCAAAAAAAGATCTTGCACATTCAAGTCTGTAAAGAGTGATCTGGAAACCCCTGTTCATCTGTTCAGGATGTTTCTGAGTGATCTCTAAGACAAGGAAACAAATGAGAGTGCATTGTGCCTGGGGAGGTGGAAGAGAGTCCTCAGCTAGGGATTAAGCTCCACATCCTGTGTTTTGGCAATTGAGTGAAGCCTTACCCTCTTTCTCTGAATGTTTTAAAATTCCTAAGGCAGAAAACATAGGCATACAAAGAAATCTCAAATTTTGAAATATAATTATCAACACATATTTTAAAAATATTAACATAGGTGCTTTATTTAATAGTGATACTACTATAATTTATAATGGTGATTAGCATAAATTTTGAGATGTTTGTAACAACTGTGATGCATAAATATCTGTGGTATCACCGAGCTGTAACAAAGTTACAGGTTTTCCCAATATCACTGTTGATTATTTCTATTCCTGATTGGAAGGCATGTTAAATATCAGTTGAAATTAGTGAACATTAAAATGCAGTATTTCGCCCCAAATGAACCCCATAGGCCCTAGGTGCAAAATAGTTTTAAAATATTCTGAGCACCTCTTCCAGACCACATTCTTCCTTTAGACGTTTATACTACTTATACCACCTTGGTGGGACCTTCCCTAGATACCTTGTGAGAACTTCAACAAATCCTCTGACAATATTTCACCCTCTTCATTGCTTTTCTGTTCCCTTAGTAAGTACATGTGTGTGTATGTATTGATGTATATATATGTGGACTTGTATATGTATCCCTTACTAGAATTTGTTTTACTAGAACACCAAGGCAAGTCTGTAATAGGGCCTGTGCTTTAGTATGGGTGTGTGTGTGGCGGGGGTCAGAATACAGGAGAGAGTCCTCCTAGACTAAAACCTGAGAAGTGGTAGAGGACTGCTGCCTCTTTAGAATTTAAATCTTACAGGGACAGGATGTGTTTTTCTGATGTTGCATATAAAACTAGATTCCCCACTAAGAATACTGGGGGATGCATAAAAGAGTTTCTATAAATATTTTTGGAAAGAAAGAACAGATGAAGGGACAAACCTATAAAGCCAGGCAATACAACTGACAATGATTATGTGATCATTATGGAATCAGGACTGTGGAGGGATTCCTTTGCAGTTAAAAATGATTACAGTGTTCAGTTAGCTGCCCTGGTGATACAGCCTGTATTAAAAAGATGAAGATTGATGGTTTCTAAACTATTTCCAGAACAAGCAAGTCACCTTGCTGGTGTTTATACTCCTTGTAAGCTGACAGTGAGAATGTGAATTAATTCCCTACTTTTGAAGAAGCAAACAACGCAAACTGCATGCTCTGGGCCAGGGAACTGGGAATGTGTTTTTCACAGGCTCATAGTAAGTGGTGAGATAGACAGATGCAAAGTGATTTGTGCCCATTACTGTGTCACTATACTATATCATGGTTATCTATAGATGACAATCTATATACCTGGCCATAGATGCAATCAATGAACTTTTTCCACTTATTAAACCAACACACATCTGAATAAGCACTGAGTTTACCTTTATAGAGAATACAACATTTGATATAATTCTGTCTTCATGAAATACTATGCAAAGTTTGAAAACTTCTATGCTCCAACATATGATTTCCAATTCACTCAAACACTAACATACCAGAAAAAAATATTTCTGGTACCTTCAGGTTCATCCCAATAGTATAAAAGCCGATCTAGAATAGCTACAGTTTTGAAAGGTTTTCTAAATCCTTACAGATACAGTCTTACCCTGTGTTATGGTTTGTGTCAGGGTGTACCCCCAAAGCCTCATGAGGCCATGGGGCAGGCTTTTAGAGTTTGATTGATTTTGGGTGTGAGAGCTACACCCACCCTGGGGTGGATAGTTTGCATATGTAAGGGAGAGGAAGAGGCTGCTTGCCACCATTCCTCCCTTTTAGTGCTTGTTGCTTTTGCTGTGTTCTGCTGCCATGAGCTATAGCCCTCTGCCATGTGCCACTCTGCTTTGTAACCTTCCAAGTATGGGCTGAAACCTCCACAAAGTGTAAGCGAAATAAAGCTTTCCTTCCTTAATTTTGTTTTTTTTTTTGGTTTTTCTCCGGTACCGGGAACCGAACTCACGACCTTGCCAGACAGGCGCTGCTGAGCTAAATCCCCAGCCCCCTTCCTTAATTTTGGGCATCAGGTATTTTGTCCCAGCAATGAGAGGAAAGTCACCAAGACACCCTGCTTCAGAAACAATGTGCAATGGTGGAAGAGACCACATTTTAAAGTCATGAGAACCAAAGAAATCTGCTCCTGGTTCACAGGTAGGAGCATAAAAACTATCTTATTCAATGTAATATGAATCAGAAGTTGATCAGTTTACTGAAAGTGAAGCATGAAATCATTTTTAAACCCGACATTAATTTATAAATTTTGCTTTAATTTAAAGTACATTTATATGTCAACACATTCATCAATCTCTTGAAGGACAGTCAAAGCCTGCTCTTTGAATATGGATCTGCAGATGGAGTTTTATTGTACTTCCTCCAAAGAATATACACAATGCATCCTCACAATTTCCAGCTTTGCTTTCTTCATAATATAGAAAAAACTAAAGACACTTGTGAAGAAATGCAGACTTTTTAGAGTTTTCCCTTTATCTTTTATAAGTCTCATTTACACTAAATCTTGATAGCAATTTTTACAGTAGGTTGTTCCAAAGCATTTAAGTTGGCCTTAAAAAACATTAATTCTTTTTCTTTTTGAACACACTGCTCATCTATTTACATAGAGTATTATAATTGCATAATTACAGCTATCAGTGAAATGGGCATTAGTGAGTTACAAAAGAACAGCTAGCCCAGCTCTCAATTCAGTGCACCCAAACACTTCCTGATTAAATCAGTGAGAACATCAACAAAGGAGCTTTTTACACTGTACAGCTAGATGTGTAAACATTTGGAAGACTTTAATAACACATCAACAAATATTCAAAATCACAAAGGCAAGATGCTACATGATCATTTGTGGGTAAGTCATTCTGAGTGCAAAATATACCAATGGATTTTCTCCACTTTTATTATTAGCACATGTGTGCAGTGTGTGATGGGTACACTCCCTGAGTGGATTCGGCACATGCACACAACACATCTCAGTTCTTTTTTCAGCCCCTTCTCCTTCCCTCCCTCCGCCAAGCCTCCATCTCTTGATTCCCTTCCCATGTGAGAAAGATCTACCTCTCTAATTGCTATCATCTATCTTTTATTTTGCTCTTTACTTGGGTTTCCCATACAAGAAAGAGATGAGATACTTAAGCTTGTGGGTCTGATTTATTGCTTTTCACATTAGTCTCCAGGTGTATCCATTTTCTTACAGTGGACTTTGATGTAAAAAAATATAGAGAGTTCATTAACACATTTGAGATTCCCTACTGCAACTAATTTTTATGGTATCACCATTGGTCTAGCCTTAGTATACAATCAGAAATACCTGCAATTATCTAAAAATATTATTAAAATACTCCTTTTTCAGTCTGATAATATGTGAAGTTGTGATTTTCTTCATGTGCTGTAGCCAAAACAAATTACAATACTGTGAATGCAGAAGTAGACATGCAAGTTTCGCAAAAATGTAAAACACCTTTCTCCTCATTAAGTACTTTTGTTTTCAAAATATTTTTTCCTAAAAATGTTATTCAGGATGCTTTTACTCTTTTCATAACATAGGATGCTCTTACTACTTTAATAGCATAAGTATGAATCAATAAATATTTTTGGTTTCACATTTAATATGGTAAATTTCACAAGATACAACTCAAATAAAACTTTTTTGTACTGCTTAATTTTTGTACTGCTTAATTCTTAAACATACAAAAGTTTGAAAATTGAGTTCAACGTTTGAAAACTTGCTTAAAATATTTTCAAAGGTGAATTTATGTGAGATACACTGATCTGAATATAGAAAGTGACTATTAATTTCTTGGCTTAGAGGGTAGGGTGTTGGTAGGGAAAGACATAAAAAAAAGTGCAATTTCCATGAACTAAACAGTAACCATAAAAGGAAGAGGCATAAATATCTTTCCCAAAATTAGCAGCCTTATTAACCCAAAGTCTTATTATAACAATATTATATTGGTCAACTTCTGCATGTGCAGAATAAAAGAATAGGCAACCCAAGAAATATATATTTCTTAAAACTTTACAGCTTATTTGACTAAATAGCCAATAAAATGATGAAGTCTAATAACAATGTATCTACTTTTATGTAGACCTGAATTAAAAATGTTCAAATGACTCCATTTAAAAACTTTTAAGT